GAACAATATGCAGATACGGACCCAACTCTTCATTCGAGTCAATATCGATTCCTTCCTCTTCGGCTCTCTTTCTTCCCCCTCTTTATCCTCGATTTCTTCTTCTCCTTCAGACATATCTCCCGAACCTATTTCTGAACGTTTGGATTGGTTTTTGATGGCAAGACTAGAGGGTCGAGAACTCATAGAAGTGGAGGGAATTGTTGTGACAGTTGTAGGTATGGATGCCGACGGGTCTGTGCGCTCCCTATCGAGTGATACAATAGCCGAGTCTTTGCTCGATTCGCCGATATCTGTGGCCTCAGCCGACACTATAGTGGCCTCTTTGTCGTCGTCGACCTCTCCTTTCATTAGTTTTGCGCAAAACTGATAAAAATAATAAATCGTTAGGTTTTGTGAAATAATTCAATGGTTGAGTCAGTCATACAGCAGTGAAACCGTGAACTTTGGCTATATTTCTCATTTCGTCGCCTTCCGGGTCGGGAATCAACGACTTTCTCGGCTTTTCATTCAAGTCGACAATTTCAGACTCCGTTTCCTCAAACATGTAATAACCACCCGAACGGACAGCTATTCAAACAATACTTCATCAATATGTGACAAATAGACTACAACTTTAGTGCAAATTGTAGTTTTAAAATATATAACATAATAAATTAAACATAAAATAGTCATTAAATCTATTAAACTTGTGCTTCGATTCATTTAAAACAAAGTTTGAGTGCTTTTTAACCGCTAAGGAATGTGCGAAACAATTGACGGAAAGAGTGGAAAACATGACAAATTACATGAGCCGTGAGAACGTGTGGACGCCTTTCGCTTAAATGAATGAACTCGTGAGAGAGTCTCGCGAACGACCCGTTGAGGGACTTGTGTTCGGGTCGACGACTGGAATATGGATGAGGCGTCTGAACGGCCTTCAGTTGTGGCCGCGAATCTCAGACCAGTTATCAGAGAGTTTGTGGGGAAAGGAGTGGAGGTAGGAGTCGGCGAATAGACTGGGAACGACTCGTCGCCTATTGACGACGATTTTAGACTAATTGAAGGGAAAGTAATGGTAGAACTGCGGGCGTCTATGGCTCTAATGGGACCCACAGAATACACCTCTAGATAACCCGGTTGTGGAGAAGTAGCCGATTGTGGCGATACTATAGTGGGAAGGCTGGGAGTGGGAGAGTAGACAGTGGGGAGGGTATGGGAGAGCGGTTCCTCTGTTTCGGGTGTATGAGAGAGAGTCCCCTCAGCCGTCGAGTACGGGGAGACGTCGTAGTCGTAATCCTCTGCTAACCGCGAGTTCAGAAAGTTATCATAAATTATACACAAAAGAGTTGGTCTCAAAAATAACAAATTGAATGTTATAATCAATAAGATATTAAGAACATAACATAATATAATATACAATATATAGAAAAGCTCGTCCATAACCGATGCCATGCATACCCTGTTTATGAGATTTAATACTCTTTGCCTTATCAGCGAACATCTTCTGTTGCGCGGCTTTGATTCGATCCATTTTCTGTTTAATCTTTTCCATCACTTCGTTCTCCGCCTGCTTCTGATCGGCCACTTCTTTGGCCTGAATCTCGTGTATGAGTTCAGCCCCGCGTGAGGCCAACACCTGTTGCGCTTTGATTTCGCGGATCAAATGACTGAAATAATAGCTGCAAAATATGCGCTTTTGTATTATAAGGAATGCGAAACAAATGCCATCCCAGAGGAGGCCGGCGTCTTCGTAGGGCTGAGCGCATTGACCGCTCCCGTCGTCCACAGGCTTAGGAGTGTCTCCAATGGGAACCGATGGCGACAAACAGGCGATTCCCAGCAGTTGGACGACCCAACAAAAGTGTTCCAATAGATTGCTTATATAAACACATCCAACGATCTGAAAATCGCACGCAATATAAATAATACATTCATTTAAATAAACAACAAATCGTTACCTGAAGTATAGATTTAATAAGAATAACACTCGACGTGTAGGCAATGATTGTCTTCCAGAGTCGAAAGACGATATCAATTGGTTTCAAATAAAACTCGTTTCCATTCCATAAGAAGAGAAAACATCCCAAAACATATCCCAATGCAAATAGACTGACACGTGTAGTGCCGGCGAGGAATACAACCGCTAATGTTATCCAAAAGAAAGTGAAGAAAAACGCGGATTTGATTGAATCGAGAATTGTGTTCCCGAAGGCGAAAAAGTCGGGCACAGAGTTGGCGTTCGCCGGGCTTTTCTCCAAATGGGACTCAATATTAGAGCCACCAATAAATGTCTCACTCTTTTCGAGCTTAAAGCATATGAGTTGTCGACACGAAAGCAATAGTATTAGGAAATCTAAATAAAGTTTTCCCGCATCCAGTGGTTCGTTGAAATCGGATAAGAAGAGCCATTTCCTGAGCTGATCACTAATCCATTTCTTATCGTCAAATAACGAGAACCACGGATATTGTAGGCAAAGTCCAGGCGGTATTCCCAGACATAGCAGGTATTGAAGGGGAAGCACAATGACTAGAAATCCTACAAAATATGTCCACATTTTTTCAACAGATCGCCGGTTCATTAAAACAAGAAATAAGAGCCAAAATGAATAGAAAACACTAAATATGTCGTTACGGGAACCGATAGATATGGTTAAGAGTATAAAACATATTTCGACACCAAATTTGTAAAAGCAGTAGTTTATGAGAAACATTGTCAGGCCTTTCAGATCCCGATCGGCATCTTTACGGCCCACTCGTGGAAACACAACACCAGTCGGCGGCGGACTCTCGTTGTGTTTCATGCGATACACGTTTTGCCGGATTATGACAACTGATCGAAAGACTAGTATCAGTATAAGAATTATGTATTCCTGGAATTACACGCAAATAATTTTGAGTTAATTTCAAATCAATTATTGCTAAACTTTGTTTCTTACAGTAATGTAACTAAAAATATTAGGCACAGTTCGGAATCCAATATAAATACGGTTGTCATAAGTGGTAACATTAGAACTCATTATCATCTATTAATCAAATATTAATATAATTATATAAAATTACAATAAATTATTCTTAAATATAGTGTAATTATAAGTACCGGTTCTTCACAATCGGACACCCATTGAATTCGTTGTGCAAATTGTAATTGAAATCCCATTTTAAGTATTATAAGAATTGCAGTCCAGAGTCCCATTAAATGGGATATTATGCCTTCAAATTGAGTGAAAGGCATCGCCAGCACTATTAAAATCACAAAAACTACATTCATGGCCGAAAGCTAGAAATATATACAATACATTTTTAATACCATTTACGCACACCATGTCAATAATTGATACATACGTCAGAAATTGCGACCAAAACGGCACAGAATATAATAACTTTAATGAGATGTATCTCTAATAATCTCCAAATAATTTCAAAAACCATATCGACTATAGGCTGGAGTTTCTGCCAAAACATTTCCAACAGTTCTGTAATCTCTTCTAAACTCGATTTATATTCTTTTTGTTCGGTTTTGGATTCGGGTCTCGAGTGCTCTTCTTTGGCAACACTCGAACCTTTAGGTCCGAGAGATGAACACTTTGTCGGCGAATCCTTAGAGCCCTTAAGGACTACACTTTGAGGACTGGAAGACTTATTTAATGACTTAATTGTATTGGGAGTCGACGTATCGTTTGACGACTCGTTTTCACTTTCAATGTCTAATTTAATATCATTCGTATTCGCAGTCTTGGCATTGTTTGCTTGACTCGATTCTTCTGGAGCCGAATGAATGGTAGTACTGGTCGGCGAACTACTTGAACACTGCCTCTCGTAATCGCTAAACTCCAAGAATTTATTGTGAAGGAAATGGACCTGAATTATGGTTATTATGAGAAAGAAAGTGGGAGTAAAGAGCTCTTTGAAGAGAATCCAGGCGTCGTGATCGTACACCAGAAGTCCCAGATCTTCCTGACTGTTAGCATTGTTTATGACAATAATTATAATTACAAAACATAGACAACATTTCAAACCCTTACAGCTCTTTATTGATGAATAGATAATCTCTCCAATAATCGGGAAAATTATTGAACTGATAGGTATACATAGCCGTCAATATAACCATCGAATAGATTATTACGATTAACCAAAACGGATACATAAGTCGTCTCCACGTGGAAAATGATGTCTAATAATTAATGTCCAAAAATTAGATGTAATGCAAAATACTTGGTTTGTTGTAATCAAACACAACCTGAAAGAGTAAAACAAACGACAAGAAGAGTGCCATATATACGATACGGAAGAGGACCACACGATCGCCGCTGAGGGACATAACCATCAGCATTGAGGTCACAATCCATATCCAATACTTGACCAAAAGATCTTTTAGCAGATTTGTAAGCCATAGAACAATAGGACTTTGATTAGTGCCGGTAGTTGTGGCTAAACTCATTTGGCGCCGTAAGTCATGCGGTGGTGCACCGGGTTGTCCGGTACTGAACGTTATATTAAAGGGTTGAAGCATAACTCCCTGAGCGAATTGCTTCCGCTTTTCTGTTTCTTTCTCTTCCAAATATTGTTTTAAAGTAATCCAAAACATGATTGTATAGAGAATCTAAACATCAATTCAATTACATTTCGATTAACAAATTATAATTCGTTAATATTGTTTGCTATACTTTAATGAATAGCGGCTGATATGATATATCAAAATATTTTTTGAATCCAATTTCGCTCATAGAGACTGTGCCCACAGTTATGGGCAATTCATCGTCGTTTAGATTAAGACTATACACGTATTGGCCAATGAGAAGGCCGAGTGCAAAGAGGACGAGGGCTGGCGAGGATTTAAGACAGGCTTGTCGTGAGTTGGGAATCATCCATACAGTGCACGACCACAACAGTAGTATGAATGACAACCTTTTAATGTTTCAAATTATTTAAAACTTTAATTGTCACTACAATAAGAATATAAATGCTTACCACGAGTGATAAGTTATAGACCACGTCTGAAATTAATAAAAATCAATGTCACATCTAATATAAACATCACATTTATCTATGCAAACCATCATCACAATCAAAGTGGAGACATAACTGCCTTTCTTGACTAATTTGATTAAATTGACGAAAGGAGAGGAGTAATGCTTGGAGTTGTCGGCACCCATTGGACCAAATGGTGTGGTCGGAGAGTCGGCTCGACTCGCACTCAGGCCAACGGCTCCGGAAATACTGGAATAATTGCTCACTTCTGGCTCTGGTTTCCAAATAATACTTCCGTTAGAATCCATTCCAATACCAGTCCTCGGATTAGGAGTGGATTTTATTTGTTCTGAAGTGTAATAATTCTTTGCCGTCTTGTCATCGCTTAAAAGCTTTAATGAATAATTAAATAACAGACATATCTTAAGCATAAAATTTAATTGCATTAAAATAGAAAGCCTTTTAGACGACAATTAACTCCTAAGCAAATATAAAGCAAAGCATTCAATTTCAAACAGTTCTTTCACAACATATAAATACAACATATCTATTGATTAATGAGTTATTATTGAATAAGCAATTTAGGCATAAAAGCAATACCTCTTTACGGCTATTGTGTAATGACTTTTCGCGTTTAAATCTATTCACTAATAATATAATAATGTTTAGTTTTAGGCAAATGTACAAAACGGTCGTAAAGTTTTTAGTTCCCATA